AATTGGTTAGATGTTGTGCATAAAAAGCTAGATTCCACATGGCTGACAGTGGTTCAAATCCCGGCCCTGGTAACTTTTGAAAAACATAGTAGGCATCTATCCATGTGTGCCCTGAATCCTGAGAAAGAGAAATGGAGGAAAAAGGATTGTAGCATGACCATGCCATTTTGGATGGTTTTCTTTCTCTCTCTCTCTAGCAAGCCCACGTGGTAATAGAGAAAGAAGAGAGAGAGAGAATCTCTGGGAAGGGTTGATTTACTTTTTTTTGAGAGATTTTTGCTATAGGGGACATGTGCTTGTCAGAGAGACACAGAGGGAAAAAGTGAAAAATAACCCCTCGGGAGGATGGCCACACTATAATTCATTCTCCTCTCAGAATTTTGGATACACATGCACACACGCTCAGTGTAAATTTCAGGACTCTGGGTCCTGCACTCAAACTGTGGTCAGCCATGTGGGAGTCCAGCGCCTTAACCACTATGCCAACAGCTGGCCCCAGAAATGGCTCTTAACTAGTGATGCTTATCAGGATCATGTGGGGAAGCTTTTCTAAAATGTGGATTCTGAAACCAAATGAATACAAGGATAGGGCTATAAGATGCACATTGTGAAAAGCTCTCCATGTGATTCTGATGTCCTTCTCTCCTTGTGATTAAGTTTTCAAAATCATGTACACCTCTTAATATCGATTCAGAAGAAGGCAAGATCAAGGCTTTTGTAATATTTAAGATTTGCTTAGTTATAATCCTATGGTTGGGACCAGCATTTGGTATAATGGTTATGTCGTTGGACTCCCATGTAGTTGACAGTGGTTTGAGTCCCGGACTCAGTGACTTAAACTCATGCTGGGCGTGTGTGCATGCATGCCCAAGATCCCGAGAGGAGAATGGAGGAGAAAGGATTGCGGCATGGCCATCCCCCCTGGGGGGTCATTTCTCGCTTTCTGTCTCTCTGCCTTTCTGGTGAGTGCATGTGTCATATAGCAAAAACCTCTCAAAAAATATATAATAATCCTATGATAACCAATATCTAGATTCCATGAACTAGAAAAGTATTTTGTTCTGGATATTTCTTATAGGCTTAAATGAAATACTTTCTTCATTTTTTTTAAGGCAAACAGAATCAGTCCTTTTAGAGCAAAATAAACTTTCCAGCAATAATCCCTGCAAAAAACAATGTGATACTAGAGCCTAGAAATTGTTGTCTGCACTGAAATAGAACTGTATTATACTGGTAGCGAAGCATTTCTAAGTACAAAAAAGCATCTGCATAGCAAACAGCCTCGACCAAGTCTCTCCTAGAGAAGAGCAGCCCAGGATGAGCTTATTCATCTGCCGTGGGGATGAGAAGGAGAACAGAAATTTACCTGAGCACTGACCTGGAGGTGGGAACACCTCCTCTTAGTGAGACTGACTACACTTGGGATCTTGGAATTTATGGGTCAGTTTTTTTTTCTTTCTTTTCTTTTCTTTCTTTCTTTTTTTTTTTTTTTTTTTTGAGAAGTTTTCACTATAGGGTGCGAGCGCTCGCCAGAAAGACAGAGAGAGACAGAGAGACAGAAAGGGAGAAATCATCCCCCAGGGGGGATGGCCACACCACAATCCCTTCTCTATTCTCCTCGCAGGATCTTGGGCACACACGTACATGTGCCCGGTGTGAGTTTAAATCACTGGGTCCAGGACTCGAACCAAGGTCGACTACATGGGAGTCTAGCTACACAGCCATTATGCTAACTGCTGGTCCCAGTTATGGGTCATTTCTAGGCCTCAGGTTACCACTATATAAGATGAATGGAGGTTTTTGAATGAATAGCAGTAAAGAGTCTATCGTGTTATTAAATCCTTCAATTCTGATTGGAAATACAAAGATAAGTCTTTCATTTTCTCTAGCATTTTGCTTTACTTTCTAATGTTCTCTTCCACAGTTTTGTAGCAACAGTGTTTAACTCATCAGCTGGAGAGAGCATGCAGAGAGAAGGAACTCTATTGGAAAGCCAATAAGGCAAAGCTTTGCAGAGCAGTTGACTGATGAGCACAAGCACTGCAGGGACCCCGAGCACGCCAGAAGTTTAGATCGGAAAAGGGAGACTTAGCAAAGAGAAGATTCTTGTGAGCTTTGTGGCCCGTGTTAAGAATATTGGGTTGTATCCTTTGAGCCACAGGGATGAAATAGAAATCAATAAATTCTCTCAGCCTGTCCTGGTCCATCTGTCCAGAAATGGTCAGGTCAAGTCCCATTAACTCTTGTTTAATGCCTTCCTTGATAACTTACTGGGTACTCCCTCCTGAAACAGTGATTTGGTCAGACTTGCATTTTCCAAAAGGACCTCACTAATGCAGAGTTTGGAAGAGCTCAGTGCTAAAGGCACAAAGACAAGTTGGCAAATCATTGTAAATGATCTGGAAAACAGAAATTGATGTTGTAAGTTAAGGCAGTAGCCTGAGATAAAGAGAACTGTACAGGTTTGAGAGATATTATTATAAAAAGGAAAGTAAACAGTACCTTTTGATTAATTGAATACTGGGGTGGAGAGGAGGGCACAGAAGAGAGAGTGAAGGAAAGCCAATCATAACTCTAGGTCTGACTTACATAACTGAGGGACCATGATGCTATTAATTAAGGCAGGGATTTTTCCAAATTAGTTGACTTGAGAGAAGAGAGGTAATGAGTTTTATTTCGTATATTTGTTTTGGAGACGCTGGTCTCTGGTACTTAGTTATTTGGGGCATTTATCAGTAAATGGGGCTAGCTAGCCACTTGAGGTTCTCATCAGTGGAAACCAAGGGTAGTGTAGATCATTGCTATTCACAGTGTGGCACCTGGCCTAGCAGCACAGACATGATTTGGGAGCTTGTTAGAATACAGAATTTCAGATTCCTGTCCCAGACCTTCTGAACCAGCATCTGCATTTTTAATAAGATTCTCAGGAAAATCACATGACATTCAAGTTGAGAAGTACTTGTTTGGTTTACTCAGGGGGAAGAAATAGTTTGCAAAAGAGACTAAGTAAACACCTTCAGAGACCTCAGTGAAGGGTGAGTAAAAATGGCATCAAGGAAGCCGAGGAAAGAGAGGGTCACTAAGTGAGAGGCCTGTTAACACTGAAAGTCCCAGAGTCACATGAGCTCAGATTTGAGTGCTGAGCAATTGATGGCATTAACATTTCCTATTTTGTTTTTCTTTTTGTTAGTTATTATTATCACTAATTTGGTATAGGGTGCATGCACTTGCTGAAGAGAGACAGAGAAGGAAAGAGAAAGTCAGAAGACATCGCCAGTGGGGGAGCAGTCGTGGTGCAATACTGTCTCTTCCATTCTCCTCTCAGGACTTTGGGAATGCAGGCGCATGGGTCGGGTGTGTTTTTCCATCCATCAGTTGGATGGATTCAGAATTCTTCAGTGTGCACAGTGCGAAGACCTAATGAAGTTGGTGGAGGCCTGAGTAGAAAGTGATGGTAGGATTGTCCTGTAAGAAGTTTGGGCTTGAGACCAGCAGATGTTGTAATGGTTATGTTGCTGGACTCCCACGTCTCTGACTGCAGTTCGAGTCCACGACTCAGTGGCTTGAAACTCATGCTGTGCACGGGTGCATGAGTGCCCAAACTCCCAAGAAGAGAATGGAGGAGACAGGATTGTGATGCGGCCATACCCCCGGGGGATTATTTCTTGCTTTCTGTCTCTCTAGCAAGCACACACACCCTGTAGCAAAAATATCTCTAAATAAATAAATAGAAAAAGAATTTGGGCTTGAAGAAGAAATGGTCATGGCTGAGGGAAGGAATGAGTGGGTAGAAATTAAGGACTACAATCTAGAGGTAGTTTCTTCCCCTTATGATGGAGGATTTTTGAGCATGTTTTAAAATGGAAAGGATTAAAAGTACAAGAGGAAGACAGATGTTTCCAATTAGACAAGATCCAAGGTACAACTGAGAAAATAATGTGAGGATGAAATGGCCAGGAGCAGAAGGGCTTCTCCCTCCCAAATGCTGAGTGAAAGGCAAGAACATGAGCATGACTGCCTGCAAACATGGGTGGTGTCTGGATGTGGCTGATTCATTGTCATAGAGCATGGCAATGGCAAGATGAGAGACTTTCTAGGTAACAGATTTTCTTTGTAAAGCGAAAGGCAATATCTGCCCAATGGGTTGCATAAGAAGAGGCATACTGTCCTTACACAGCGCGGTGAAGATGCAGCAGAGCCCTGGGGAAATGAAAGGAAGTGCCAAAAGGTCTACAAAACTATACCCATGGCCCAACAAAAGGCAGGGACTGTAAATCATGTGTGCAGCAATCCAGATGGATGGGTGAATTCTGCAATCCACTGCAGTCCAAGGTTAGGAATGGGAATGGGAAAATGTTAAGGCTAGTTTGACCCAGTTTGAAAGCTATGTGAAACAGAGGGAAAGTGTGTTGAAGGCCGTGAAAAGTTCTGGAAAAACAGTCTGAATTGTATCCCTTAGAATAAATGGAAACTTTGAGGGAGAAACTAGGGGAGTGGAGAAGTTGGAGAGATAAATAAGATGAAAAGTGGATGTTAAGAGTCTAAAATTTGGAGGGGAATGAGTTCCAAGTAGCCGTTCAACTTGGAGTGTGGTAAGTGAAATGAGCAGCAAGAGAAACTAAGTAAAATGGGTACAGAGTTAGAACTCAGTCAGAGCAAAAAGTTTAAATACCACCCTTTCTTAAACTTTATTTATTTATTTTTATTTGATGAGAGAGACACAGAGAGAGAGAGAGAGACAGAGAAAAAGTTTAAATACCACCCTTTCTTAAACTTTATTTATTTATTTTTATTTGATGAGAGAGACACAGAGAGAGAGAGACAGAGAAATTGAGAAGGTAAGTTAATAGGTCCGGGACTTGAACTGCAGTCAGCCATGTGGGAGTCCAGCGCCTTTAACCACAATGCCACCTGGTGACCCTACCTGTATTATTCTTTTAACCTGTTGTAGTCATCAGAGAAAGACAGAGAGAGGGAACGAGTGAGAGAGTAAGCCACCAGGTCCGGAAGTCGAACCTTTGTTGGCTGTGTCAGAGTCCAAGGCCCCAGCCACCACACCACCTGCTGTGTTAGGTCTTAGTGGTGGTGATTGGATATCCACCAGGAGTGAATGCACTGGGCTGCATTGTTTTTGCAAAGATGTTGAGCAAAGACTTAATTCCTTCAGGTCTTCCAGGGTGGTGTCTTTGGGTGTGACGATGTCATGTGGGTGGGACCCTTATGATTGAGTTCCAGCAGGTATATAAGCAGAGGGTTTGAGACCAGAGAGAGACACACGGATGCGGACCACTCCCTCATCTGCGAGCAGTTCGGCATCCTGTCATTTCCTGACACCTCGGTCCTTCTGGGAACACAGCTGAGAGTCAACATAAACCTGTGTCGGCCGGGGCGGGTGGGAAATGGCGGAGTACTTGGCCTCCATCTTCGGCACCGAGAAAGACAAAGTCAACTGTTCATTTTATTTCAAAATTGGAGCATGTCGCCACGGAGACAGATGCTCTCGATTGCACAACAGGCCGACCTTTAGCCAGACCGTTGCCCTCTTGAACGTTTACCGGAACCCTCAGAACTCCTGCCAGTCTGCTGACCGCTCGCGCTGTGCGGGGAGCGACGCTGAAATGCAGCAACACTACCATGAGTTTTTCCAGGAAGTGTTTACAGAGATGGAGGAGAAGTACGGGGAAGTGGAAGAGATGAACGTCTGCGACAACCTGGGAGACCACCTGGTGGGGAACGTCTATGTCAAGTTTCGGCGGGAAGAAGATGCAGAAAAGGCCGTGGTGGATTTGAATAACCGCTGGTTTCACGGGCGGCCCATCTACGCCGAGCTGTCCCCTGTGACGGATTTCAGAGAGGCCTGCTGCCGCCAGTACGAAACCGGGGAGTGCGCGCGAGGAGGCTTCTGCAACTTCATGCACCTCAAGCCCATTTCCAGGGAGCTGCGGCGGGAGCTCTGCGGGCGCCGGCGCGAGAAGCGTGGATCCAGGTCCCGATCCCGGGCGCGGCGCTCTCGGGCTAGAGACCGCGGGCCTGGCGTTTTGCGCGACAGGAGGGGCTGGAGAGGCCCTGAAAGATCTGGGCGACTCTGAGCCATGCCATTTTGACCGTATGTCTGCTAGAAAGTGTTGTCGTTGATGTCCAAACCAGTTCATAGTGGGATTAAAAAAAAAACACAAAAAACAAAAAAACAATAAAACAGAAAAGATGGGTTTCTGAATAAAATTTGTAGTGATACAGTAAAAAAATAAATAAACAAATAAATAAATAAATAAAAATA